ATATATATATATATATATATATAATATTATACATTTTATCTTGTCCAATTAATTGCATAAGCAATATTTTTATTTATTTTTTAAAAGATTTGAATACAATCACGATGATTATGCATTATAGTTATAAACAAACACACTTACTACACAAAATAATAAAGAAGTTCATGATAGGAATAAAAAATATATTGAATGATAGATCTACCGTGAATTTCATTCTTTTTATTATTTATCATAAACAAGATAAAAGATTAAAATTTATTGATTATATTAAAAAATAGCTAAATTCATTAAGCTTTAATAATGTACATTTCAATAGTCATAACCTAATCACATCCCCTTTTTTAAATTTTTACATCATTTATATAAATACATCATTAAATATTTCATACATATATTTAAAATTTAACTTTTCACACTCCTAAAATGTAAATATATTTCAAATGTTTGTAATATAAAATTAAGTTATAATATATGTAATAACTCAATAAAACATGATTAAAAACACAAGCCAACAAAAAAACAAAACCAAAAAAAAACTGAGGAAGCGAAAGCCAAGGATAGATGATCCTTATGCAGAAGAACAAAGACAAATTAAAATTAAAGCGTTAAAAGATAAAAGACAAAAAATAATAGATGAAGTCAAACTTTCATTAGAATCAAGAAGAAAAGATAAAATAATTCTCCAAAATGCATTTTTTGAAAAAGAAAATAAACTCCGAACGAAAGCACTTAGGGATTCTAAAAAAGAAGGAAGTGAAAAGATTATGTTAGAGGTATTGAATATATATATACAATTCTTTATTCAAAAAAATATTCTTTCTTCCAAAGAATATTTATTTTCTTTTCTTCACTTTAATATTCCATTCTAAAAACATTTATTTACACAATTATATTAATAAAATGAACACATTACATTAACTTTTTTTCACATTAAAAAACACACAAGATTATTAATTTTTATATCTAAAATTAAATTTAATTTTATTATAAGATATTTATTATTCCATAGATATTATTATAAATTATTATATAATGTTTTCCTTTAGATTATCAATCATGTAAAATTTAGATCAAGTTTGCAATATTTACATTCCAGATTCGCGAAGATTTGAGTAAAATTATCGAAACTGGTATAAAATGTGTATACACATCTGTGATTATACCAGAAAAGATTAAGTATGATGGCCGATCAATTCTATCGATTAAAGGTGTTAAATATAGATTGAAAAATAATTTGCATATTGTGGGTTGGGGAAAAGAAGCGGTTAGAATGAGCTCGGCATTCGAACGGATTGTCGGTAAACAATTAAGGAAAGGTTGGATGGTGGTGCCAAGAAAATCCATTTTTATGATGTGGAGTTTTCCGGAAGCGTTTCCTCCTTTGAATAGTCGTATTACTTACATTGAAGCTGGAACTGATGGACATCCAGATGAAAAATCAGTGAAAGCTACGAGACAAATTATAAATTACGTTAAAAAATTGAAGAAGAGAGATTTGTTGATAGTCATGCTCTCACAAGAAATTGACGATCTCCTTTGTTGTCCCCAAGAGACTATTACATTAAGAGATAAGCTTAGAGTGTTGACTAGATTAAGCAAAGCAGAAGCAACTCCTGAGGAAATAAATATCGTAAGAAATAAGCTTTCTGCAATTAGAGGTAAAAAGATAATATTTTTAACGATAAATTTTTTAAATAATTTGAATTCCACGTTAGAATTATTAAATTAGTTGAATCAAATTGTTAAATTCCCAGTTATTAAATAGACGGATATGACAGAATTGATATTGATTTTTATCCAGATAGAAATCTTATATATCTATATAAAATAATTATATCCGTAGCATGAATTCTAAGTATTAATTGATTAGATATTTAATTAATTCAAATAATCGATTAAATTATTCTGATTATTGTAAAGTTATTAAAAAGTTATTAAAATAGAATAAAAATATTTTGAGAAATTGTAAAATAATTAAAAAATAAAAATAATTTCTACACAGGAGGCGATTTAGCAAGATTTGCTTATCCAGCGAGAATCGTGATATTAATCACATCAAACGTTTCCGACAAGCCTATGACTCATTTATTAGGCGGACCATGCATATACGATCCAAAAGCTGAAAAAGCTTTGGAAATATTAACGAAATACAAATTGATCGACAGAGTACCGTTAAGTATAAAAGAGTTGGTAGAAGAAACAGTTCCGTGGATCATGGCGGCCGACAAGCAATTGGACGCGAATAAAAATTATAAATTTGTTCACGAATATGTGATAGCTTGTAACGCAGACGCTATGGAATGTATGGCCATAGAAAGTTACAAATTAGGCCTGTTTCCTATAAAACTTAATTCAACTTGTTTCGGAGACATTCAAGAATTTGCTCGAGAATATGTTAAAATGACGTCGTTGATGATATTGGCGGTCGAAGGGAAGATCAATAAATTGGAGATGTGGCAGGAAATGAGAGATAGCTCAATCTGCCCTTTGACCGATGAAAAGGTGAATGAAATATTTCCCGCCAAAGATAAATGGGGTTTGGGATTGTGTCTTTTATTGGGTGGCCGACCCACTGTTAATCTTTGCCCTACACCTGGACGAGGTGGACCTAATCAAGAACTAGCCCTGTACTTTTCGTTATATTGGTATTTGCGTACACAGCAGTATCCAATTTTGAGAGGGTACACTGTTTGGTTTCTGGGCGGTAGCTCGTATGGAAAAGATGGCAATTCTGATGCAGTTGGCGCGTTCGGTTATCAGAGTTTGAGCACCGATATTTATCCAGAATATGACAAAGCATTTAGATCATATCAGAATGCTCATGCGAAGTGGTGGAAACTGAATGAGGAGAGACGCCTTAATTCTGAGATGGTGGTAAATATCAGAATGTCAAAAATTGATTTTATTCTTTAATTCTAGAAATAAGATAGATACGGTTGATTATACATTAAACGATATCTGATTATAGTTGGATTCATAATAATTTTACAATATAATAATATCTTAGACAATGTTTTATTTTAATTACATTTGATTTTGATTTTTATTTATAAAAAGATATCTTCTGATCTTGATGATTTTTTTAACATTGTTGTCAAAGAAAGAATTAAGAAAACTAGTTCAAAACCAATGTAAGCTATTAACGGTTATGTGAATTTTTATTTAATTTTGAAATTAACATAAATTAATTGATGTTAAATAAAGATTTATTTAATTTCATGGTTTGTATTGAGTTTAAATTAGATTGAATTAATTTAATAATTTTTAAATAAACAACGACTTAAGTAAAACACTTCACAACACTATTTAATGTGATAATCTTGACAACATATTAAAAAATCATCGAGTTAGAGGAAAATATTTTTTTGTAAATATTTATATTCGATTATTCTATAATTGGATTCAAAAGTACTTGGATATTATTCGACAAAAATTGAAAAAATTTACAGATTATTAGTTAATGTTTGATTATAAGCGTTGATTAATTGAATAATATTTATTCACAGGAAGCACATATAAAAATGAAAGAACTTGAAATTATAAAAAATAGATATGCCGATATTTTACCTGGTCGTGCATTAGCTAACAATAATACTAATTTATTGTTCTTGAGCATTAATGATGAAGATGAATTATTTGAATTGAAAACTGGAAACTATTATACATTTACAAACGTTGGAGATCTCCACATCATACGAATTGTTCGTTTCCAATGTAATTGTGATAGTATTTGTCATGGACATGTAGAAAAAGTGTGCACCGATACGGAATGTTAGTTTTTCAATCATTATCAGCGGAGACGCGTGCAAAATTTCAATATTGTTGTCGTCTTGGTTCACGAAAAAATGAATGATATACTTACGATTTTTGTACGTTTCGACCTATTATCAATAGTAACTCGAATATCATTTCCCAATATTTCATTATGTTAAATACAATATTCCTCTTTTGTACAGAATTATCCTTACAATTTTTATAAAATTGATTTATAAAATACAATAAAAATAGTAAATTTTTGATAAATTCTTTAGAATTTTATTATTTTTACAATTGTTATAATTTTGAAAATTTTATAAAATTTTAATTTTAAAAAAATATCTTATAAATATATTACATAATATAATATATTACATATCTATAATATATTTAAAGATAATCATAATAAGCAGTATTCAATATACTTATTGTTATATAAGTATTATTAAAGCTAGAATGTTATATATACTTGTTATTATGTTACTTTCACATATGCATATAAATCTATGCATAGAATCATTTTATTTTTTAAAAATATATTCTATGTTTTATTTATAACAAAAAGAGCATTTCAATAGAACAAATAGTATAACGAATTCATACAAACATATTCTTTATTTATTTTCCTTTTTGATATGTTTTAGTAATCTTTTCAAGTTTGCAAATAAAAATCATTGAAATGTATTATTTATACTATGATCACTATTTTAATGATTTCTTAGTATTTCGAACGATTAATAAGTATCATCTGAAAAATGCTTTCTAAAAATAAGTTTAATTGCCATTGTACAAACAACACAATGTTTGCCTCTTGAAAAAAGAAGAATCGCTTCTTTAAATGATATTTACTATGACCCATCTTATTCTTTTGTTATTAAATTACGCTTAAGATACGCTTTAATATTAATTTCTCCTGTTAAAAAATATAAAAAATTTTAATCAAACATTATAACTATATAAATCTTTCCTTGTAAAATTCAATATATGATATATTTTATATCTTTATAAAACTTAACTGAGTCGTTAATAATTTATTACAATATTTTATGTGCTTGTAAGCAATTAATTAAAAAAAACAAAATTAATAAATCTAACTTTATGAAATTTTTATGTGTATTATACTTAGGTATTTGTTTTTAAAGTAGTATTAAAAAAGTTGTTGTTTAAAAATATATTATAGAAAATATTATTTTTAATTTCATTTTTCATAAATTTAAAAATTTATATTATTAAATTAATATTATCAAATATTATTATTAAATTTAATATTATTAAATTAAATATTATATGAATAAATTTTATTTGTAAATAATCCGTGGAAGAAAAATTTCCACTTCTATCGTGTAAACTTTCGCCGAAGACGAAATGATTTCTATTGAGCGATCAGTTTTTTTAACTGAAATGAATTGAGGGAAAGTCCCAAGAAGCTCATTTCGTCCTCCTCCGACATAATACAGACCTTGTAGGCCAGCATGTCCCATGGGTTCAGTACCAATCCCGTTTAACAAAGCCTCTGGAATGAACTTGGGCTAGCTCAATGACACCTTCATAATATGGTAGTTTTGAACATGTTCTTTTATAGCTTCATCTCTGCTGTTTAAAACAACAATGTAATTTCAAGGTATTTATTTTTAAATATTTCTATAATTGTAAACAATTCGTTATTTCTAAAGAAATAAATAAAATCCATTCTGAAATCAAATTTAACAAAAAGCGAATTTTATATCATTTTTTACATATTAGTAATAATAAGTTCTTTTTTTTAAAATATGATCTTAAAAATCGGTAATAATGTAAGATTTAGAAATAAAATATTTAACAAGAACGTTAATAGATTACGCTAGTTATATAATACCTACTGATGATAATTCGTTGTTTTTTACAAATTTAAAATTAATCTTTGCTTGACAGAGCTTGTTTTCAAATCTGTATATATAATTAGTCTAATAATGTATATAATATTATTATATACTATAAATAATAATAAGAACAAGAAATATCACTTGTAAATGTTGGATTGATAAGAAATTGAATATAATGGAAAAAAAAAATAATGAGTAAATTATAATATACTTTTATTTAAATTTATCCAGTATTTAATTAAATTATCTATTTTCTAAGGATTGATAAAAAAATTAAAAAAAGAAAGAAGCAATTTTTTTCTCATCAATTACATACTATAAATTTTTATAAAAATTTTTTTATTTGTCATACTATCATGTTTTATTATGAAGATATTGATCATAATACGAATAATTATTATTCTTTATTTGTCATTTATGTAATTTTTATTAAATTTTAACAAGACGATAAAAATAAAATTAATTAATTAAAACTTAAATTCATTTTCATCGTAAGCAGATTAAATAGTTGAGAGTGTAAATGAATATATATAGTTTTTAGATGGGAATATACGAATCCTGCATAATTTGAAAAAGCAATTTACAGAATTTGCAATATCGACTAACGATCATATAGTTTCTTGTTCGGAAACAATTATATTATTCTGCATATTGGTCCACATCGAATATAGTTTTCTCCATAGAAAAGCATGTAAATATTTATTATTCCAAATATCTTCTAATTTTATATAACAAAGTTACGTATGGTTTAGTAAAAATATTTTATTTATAGCTTTTATTACATATGTAGTGAAGTTTGTTACACATATGTATACAAAATATTGATATATTTACAGATCATTTTTGATTAAAAATGTAAAAATCAAAACATTATCAGCTGATTTATTTATTAAACTATTAAGCAATTTAAATGGATATAAATAAAACAGAAATAGAATGAAACGACAGTGCAATAGAGATTTCTGTTTCACTTTCCATCCAATCCAAATTTAAATTGTTTATAACTCAATCCACATTTTTACTATATACCAACTTTTGTATTTGTTTTAGCCTGAGGGAATCAACTCTCTAAACCTACTATTCTACTTATTATTTATTTACAAGACTAAAATATGCTTTAACTTTTTTTCTTTCTTTTTTTTTTTTTTACTTGTTTCATTCTCAAAGAAGTTATAATCTGTTGTATACCAAGGATAAAGTTTGTTTCCAAAATGTTTCTGAAATCGTGGAAGAATAAGCGTAACCCAAGATAGTGAGAGTTGGACGATCAGGAAATGGGAAGGAAGCTTGGTTATATATAAGATAATGGTTACGTTCAAGGTCTTAGGAGGGCGAGGTTCAGCGACACCCAAGGGACAAATATATTATTACTAAAGGGTAGGAAATTTAGAAGCCTCGATGAAGTGCAAGAGATCGAAGTGAACAGAAAGATCCTTAAGTGGGATGAACATAGACAACTAGTCCTATGAGATAGAGAGAGAGAAAGATAATCGAAGGTTCCGCAGAGCTTGGTAGCCACATTTCTCCTTGGAGACTAGACATTCGCGGTTCGCAGTTAATGCCTTCGTTTCGAGAAAATCGATATAAACGTTAAATCAAAGACACGAAGTTATGGCATTCTTTTATACATAGGCTTGGAGGCGTTTACAAATATGTAGTCTTAATTTTTAATTTTTTGTCTTAATTTTTTAAATATTTACAAGAATGTACACTTCATAAGTGGTACATTTAAATATATTTGGGGAAGAAAATAATTATTTATTATTTTTTATTATTCGTGACATTTAATGGCGAATAAAAATAGTCTGCTATAATAATATTTAAATTATTAAAACTTGATTAATAAATTTTTTCTAATATTAATCACTGATGTTTTTATGAAAACAAATTGATCTTCAGTTCTTCTTTAAAAATTGAAAAGTTAAAATATAATATTCAAAAATCGAGATAGAAAATTAATGATATTTGAAAAAAATATGTAATAATTATGGATTATAATCATTTTTCACGATTTACTTTTGTTAAAAATTCTTAAAAATAATAAAACATTAAATTTCATTATGTGTATAACAATATTTTTAAAGTAAAATTGTATATATTTTTTTCACCAACGAAGTGTAAATGTTTTATTATAATGTAAATGACTTAAAACTTTTGTACAGCATTATATATTGCGTTTCCTCTACGTCTGGTCTAAATCCGGCTTAACAATAGTTTACTTGTTTCCTATTAAACATAAAACAGATTCACACTGTTTTCTCTAGTTGAAATACATTGAGGATGCAATGAATAGTATATAATTGTATCTTTCGTAAATATTAAACGGATAATTTGGTTAAATTTATTTACTGATTAATTCTAATTAATCATGATTAAAAGAGTAATTATATTTCCAATAATTATCAATCTTAAAAACTCTCTAAAATTCTTCTTTAGCATTCAAATATAATTGTGCAATAATCAATAAATATTTTAATTATTAAAATATATTGGTTCAATAATTAATTATAAAATAATATTTGAATATATATTTTATGCGAATTCAAGTAATAAGTTGTATTATCAAAATCAACAATAAAATTGAAACATTATGTAGACCATAATGAGCAATCCTTTTATTAATGGAATATTATTTTGAAAAGAAAATTCCTAAAGTTTCCTATTATTTTCATATTGTTTTTTAAATATAACTTTGTAATACTAGTTTAAAATATAGCAAAATTTTAAATTATGAAACTATAAAAATAAAATATTCAAATTTTAATGCTCCATCATATTATTCTATTATTCTATTTTTCTATTTTATTATAGAAAATATTTCCAATTAAAATTGTACAAAACATGAAAAAAATGGTAACAATTTGATTTCACGTACTAAATTTTTAATCGAAAAATAAATTGCTCTATGATTTATGTATTCAAATTTTGTATAATTTGTATAAAAATTCAATTTTGTATAAAAATTTTCATTAAAATCATATTTTTTAAAAAGTATAAATTTCTTTATAAAGTAGAATATTTTTACGACTGATTGTATTATTATCAATAATTTAAAAACAACTTAAGAATATGTTATTTATCGAAATCGAAATATCATTGTGATGCGTTTAAGTTAGAAAATTTAAATATTGTAGCCACTAATTTATTCATAATTTAATTTATTCATATTACACAGCGGATTAAAACTTATCATACTAAAAAATAGATAAAAGTTTGCACA